GAGGCCCTCCTGCGCCTCGCCGAGTTCCTCTCCGTCCAGCTGGGGGCGGAAGAGAGCTGCGGGAGCCCGGCCGACCTGGGCCAGGTGAGCGCGGCGGAGGGGCTGCTGGCAGCTGCCACCTGCGCAGGCCTTCCTGGCTCTCACAGCCCTGCTCCGATTCTTATCTCCTTCGCAGTCTGGCGAGGTCCCCCCACTGTTGACAGTGACCAGTCAGCTCTTGGCCCTTCTGGCATGGCTTCGGAGCCCCAGGGGGAGGCAGGCCCTGCTCCAGGGGACTCAGCCAGCCCCACGGGTCCGGCCCCCCACTCCAGATGGTGAGTAAAGGGCAGTAAGTTGAAGACGGACTCTGGAGAGAGCAAATCCTAGTAGAACCTGGGCGACCTGGAGTTCGGGGTCCTGTTCCGGAGGATTTGGACCAGAGACCTCTTTCTTCAGTGGTAACTGGGCCCACCCTACTCCAGGATCCACATCCCAAGAAGAAAGCCCTTCCCACCTCGGCGCAGTCCCAGGTGAGCCACTGGGAGATGAGGCCCAGGGACAGCAGCCCCTCCAGTTGGAGGACGACCAGAGGGAGTGGCAGCGGCTGGAGCAGCTCATCCTGGGACAGGTGAGGCCTCAGGAGCCAGAAGGGATCAGGGGCTGGGGCGCCAGAAAAACGAGGTCCACCGTGTCTCTCGTACTTCTCCCCAGCTGGAGGAGCTGAAGCAGCAGCTGGAACAGCAGGAGGAGGAGCTGGGTCGACTGCGCCTGGGCGTGGTGAGGCTGCGGGGAGGGTGGGGGGAGGACCTGGCAGGGCTGGGCATGGAAGGGGGTGCTTCAGGTGAGTACCGAGACTTCCTCTCCACCAGGGGGCAACAGACTCAGAGAAAAGGGTTCAGCATCTCACCCTGGAGAACGAGGCCCTGAAGCAGAGCCTGAGCCTCATGCGGGACCTTCTGCTGCACTGGGGTCCCGGCCCCCCAACCAGGGCTCCGCAGGTACCCTGCTCCCGAGCTGCAGCCGTTCCTGCAGCCTGGGGCTCCTGCACACCTGGCATGCAGCCACAGTGCCCGAGCCTCCTTGGGACCTCCTGGGATGGTCTGTGCAGGGCAGCCCCATCAGGGTGGCTGATGCCTGTGGGAGGACCCCCTCTCTCCGGGGCCCCTATGAGTGGCTGATCCCAGGAGAGCAGAGGAACCGTGGGAAGGAGCTCTGCGTGGAGTTGGGAGGCATGGATTCACAGCCAGCTCTGCCCACCTCTTGACTTGACTTTCCCATCTGTGAAATGGTACCGCAGACCGTCCCTCTCTGAGTCCCTCCTGGCCCCCACCCTCCCGCAGGAGGAGGCGGAGGCATTGGTGGAGCTCCAGGGCCGGCTTCAGGAGGCCCAGGACACCACAGAAGCCCTCCGAGCCCAGGTGGGCATGGGGCCCAGGGATCCGTGGCTCGGGGGTGAGGAGGGCTGGGGTACTGGGAGGGGCTTATCTGAGGCAGGGCCTGGTAAGTGCCTGTTTCCTCAGTGACAGGGGTGGGGTTGGGCGGGGCAGCTGGGGGTGCAGGAGGTGCAGCTGCAGGGCCTTCAAGGGGCCCTCCAGCAGCTCCAGCAGGAGACGGAGCAGAACTGCAGGCGCGAGTTACTGCAGATGCATGGGCAGCTGGCAGGTAAGGGCTGGGGCTCGGGCTCACGGGAGGCCCTGGAGGCTGGGCCTTCCCTTCCAACAGACTTCTCTCTCCAGGACTTCGGGCACGGATGGCCAGCCTGCGTCAGGGCTGCGGCGACCTCCGAGGATTGGTCAGCACCTTTACCCAGAGCTGCCAGGGTTCGCTGAGTGAGGCCCGGGGCCAGGTCAGGACCCCTCACCGCCTAGCCCCTCCTCTCTGGGCACCCTATTCACTGTTCTTTTGACGGGGGTGCTCCTGGGGAGTTGGCTGTACTAATAAGTGGGGCTCTGGAACCCAAACAGCTTCTGTGTGACCCAGGGTGGGACTTCACTTCTGGGCCTTGTTTTCATCATATGCATACTTGGTTGACAGTAAACTCTTAAAGCATTGCCTAGAAGCACGGAGGAGATGGATGATGTGGTGTCTCTGTCTGTCATTTCTGGGCTTTATCCTGGGGTTACTGAATTGATGTCCCCAGGGGCCCAGAGCCACTGAAAGTTGTGGCTCAGCACAGTTGGGTGGCCCTGTGGGGGCTCCTTGCTACTCTCAGGACCCTCCCACCCCCCACTTCCGCAGCTCCTTGGCTGACCCCTTGCCTTCTGTACATCCCTGTTCCCTCAGGTGTCCTGGGCCTTGGGGGCACTGTCATCTGGAGGGCCTGGCACTCAGCTCCCTGAGGGGCAGCAAGGGCCCCCAGCCGGATGCCCAGGGCGGCTGCCAGAACTCAAGGGTATGGCAGGCTTGGGAGCCCAGGGGGGCAGGGAGGGTGGCTGGAGGAAGTGAAGCCTCTCTGTGCTTTAGGGTCTGCAAGGCACCCTGCTGACCTGATCCCCACTGCAGGAAATATCCGTGTGCTGTGTCGACTGAGGCCAGGGACATCCTCCAGCCTCGTGAGCGTGGAGCCTGGCCCAGGGGGCACCGTCACCACCTGCTACCGGGGGCGCCATCGTCGATTCCGCCTAGACTGGGTCTTCCCGCCAGATGCCAGCCAGGAGGAGGTGACAGCCTGTTTTTGCAACCATTCTGACCCTTTCTCAGAGTCCCCTGAAGAGCAGGAGAGGCTCCAGTTTCCCGTTCCCAGTCTAGCTGTCCACCTGGAGGAGGGACGGTGGCTGGGCTCTAGCCAGGAGGGAAAGGGAACTGAGGGGGCTGGGAAGCAGGGCAGGCAGCCCAGCTTGGTGCCTCCTCCTCCCAGGCTTCACTACCTGTCCACTCCCCTTTGCTGGAGTCCAGGGTCTTCCCAGCTATGAGGGCCCCTCATTGCTTTGTGGCCCCAAGGCCGGCGGTGGGTGGTGGGGGCCATGGGTGAGCAGACAGGCTTCTAGTCTTACTCCGCCCTGCCTGGATCCCACTCTTCTTCCCTACCCTTTTCCTGCCAGACACCTGTGGAAAAGCAGGGGCTCCAGCCCCAGCCCACCCCACCTTCACACACATTTTCATCTGCACGTGCCCTTTGCTGCTAGAGCTCCCATAGCTGAGGAGATGGCAGCTCAGAGCCAGGGGAGACTAGGTAAGGGGTAGAATGGCAGCGACTCACGCCCAGGCTGCCTGCCTGCCAGCCTCACAGGGACAGGGTGACGACTGCCCAGCAGGTGGCCAGGGTCAACCTGATTCCCTCTTTTCCAACTGCTTATCTCTTCATCCCACATATCCCTCTGGCCTTAGCCCCACCCCAAACTGCAGCCCTGCATGGGGCATGCTTTGTGCACTGTCCTCTGCACAGCCGTCCTGGACAAGGCCCTCTAATGCAATGTGTCTGAACCTAAGGCATCTGTGGACAAGCCCTCACTTGTGCTCCCATTTCTGCAGTGGTGCCATGATGTGCTCCTGAATGTCATCCACAGTGCCACCTCCATCCCATCATGGAATCTCAGTAACCCCACAGAACACAGAATTCCAGATTCTAGCCTCGTGGCTGTCTTCAAACAGAGCTGACAGCCCACCCTGTTACCAGTGACCTTCTGGGCATAAAAGCCAGCCATGTTGTTGTCCAAAAGACTGTTGGTGTCTAGTGCCAACGGGGTGAATGTCCCAACCCTGTGTCTCTCTCAGCACCTGTCTGTGCCTGGGCTCCCGCAGGCCTGGCTGGCCACCATCCCCCGTATCTGCAGGCCCTTCCTGGGGTCACACTTTGTGAGCCAAGTACTGCCGTGGCCCTCTAGGTGCACTGCCACGAGCGTTCACAGCAGGTGCCACTGCAGCCCTTACCTCTCAGGGGAAACAGGCACAGGAAGGCCAATGAGTAAACTCCAATCATACCCGGGTTTGAACCGAGCAGTCACGCCCCAACATCTGGGCTTTTTTTTTTTTTCTGAGATGGAATCTCAGTCTGTTACCCAGGCTAGAGTACAGTGGTGTGATCTCAGCTCACTGCAACCTCCACTTCCTGGGTTCAAGCAATTCTCCTGTTTCAGCCTCCCAAGTAGCTGGGATTACAGGTGTGTGCCACCACGCCCGACTAATTTTTGTATTTTTAGGAGAGACGGGGTTTCACCATGTTTGCCAGGCTGGTCTCAAACTCCTGACCTTGTGATCTGCCTGCCTCGGCCTCCCAAAGTGCTGGGCTTACAGGTGTGAGCCACCTCGCCCAGCCCATCTGGACTTTTTAAAATATTTTTTAAAATTTATACTATATATACATATATACATATATATATTTTTGACAGAGTCACACTTTGTCATCAGGTTAGAGTGCAGTGGCGCAATCTCAGCTCGCTACAACCTCTGCTTCCCAGGCTCAAGAGATCCTCCCACCTCAGCCTCCCGAGTAGCTGGGACCACAGATGTGCAACACCATGCCTGGCTGATTTTTTTTTGTAGTTTTTGTAGAGACGGGGTTTTACCATGTTGCCTAGGCTGATCTCAGACTCCGGAGCTCAAGTGATCCACCCGCCTCGGACTCCCAAAATGCTGGGATTTATTTTTCTTTTTTCCACGTTGGCTTCCACATTAGGGACACCACACCTACGCTCTTAACTGCTGTCCCTAGGCCTCCTACGCGGTCTTCAGGACTCCAGAGCCTCTGCATAGGCTGTTTCCTCTTCTCATCCGTCTTTTCCCTTCTTTGCCTGGCAAATTCTTGCAAGCACCACCTTCTCTAGGGAGACAGAGGGTCTCTGTAGGACACACCCTCCCCCATGGTCTCTTAGAGCCATCCTCCCAGGGTACTAGGCTCTGCTTACACCTGCCTTCATGGCACTCCCCACCCCACCAAATAGGTCATAAACAGGCAATGTGGGGAGGACTCAAAACACATTCTCCCGCCTCCCCCCAGGTCTTCAGAGAGCTGGAACCTGCAGTGCTGTCCTGCCTCCGAGGCTATAGCGTCTGCATCTTCACCTATGGCCAGACAGGAACCGGGAAGACCTACAGCATGGAGGTGGGACACAGCCCACGCCCGGTGGGAGAGGCCCCAGGGGCCCTGCATGACTTGGATGTGAGCCCGATGTGTACCCCACCCCATCCTCAGGGCCCTCCTGAGGACCCTGGCATAGTTCCTAGGGCGCTGCAGTCGCTGTTCCGGGAGATGGGGGCCGGCAGGCAGCACCGGGTGACACTCAGTATGGTGGAGATCTACAATGAGGCTGTCAGGTGGGCTACTCCACCAGGGAGGCCTTCTCCCCACCCCTGGCCCAGGGCCCTTCCGGGTTTCCAGAGAACTCTGGAACCAAGACCTTCCCCTTTCTCACCAGGGATCTCCTTGCCCCAGGGCCTCCCGAGCGTCTGGCCGTGAGGCAGGGCCCTGAAGGCCAGGGCGGGATCCAGGTGGCTGGCCTCACCCACTGGGACGTGCCCAACCTGGAGACACTGCACCAGGTAGGGCTGCTCCGCCTCCGGAGACCCTGTCCTTTCCTTCCAGTCGGGGGCGGGAACCCCGCACCTGACCAGCCCTGTCGCTCCGCCTTCCAGATGCTGAAACTGGGGAGGAGCAACCGGGCCACCGCCGCCACCGCCATGAACCAGCGCAGCTCCCGCTCGCACGCCCTGGTCACGCTGACGCTG